ATTTCGCGTGCAAAAAAAAAAAATACAGAATTGAATTGGCAGTTGCCCAGACCATTTGTAGCATGCATTTATCTTTATATGCCCCTACTTTTAATTAATCCGCTCGAATTACGTGCGTAACGTCATCGAAGAGACTGCTCACGTAACCCACTGCATTAACCCCTCGGTCCTAAAGTGTCCAAGGATTTTGATATCTTTCCGAGGTAAAGGATGATGTCACCAAAAGCACAAACTACACGTACGTGCCCATTGTCAATCCACTGCTGGATGAGGAGGGCCTCCCCCCTGCGCCGTGTGGGTCTTTCCCCATTACTTCACCACCGCCCCCACCCCCCCCGGCACTGGTCGCTGTGGGTTGGTGGTGGTGGGCCACAGCACAGACGTTGCGGCAGGGTGTAGCGGAGTGATGAACGTCCGCTGCGTTTCTCCACCTCTGGTACGATGAACGCGCTTACAAGGAGACCTCTCAGTGGCGCGCTTCCGTAAGCTCAAATTGGTGGCAAGTTGGAGAAAACGCCCCTAAAACTAAAGTTATTGACGACGACGCAAGATTCGTGCGCCAATTAAGCCGCGTGCGGTAAGCGGATGGTAAAGTATGGTCAAACCCGCCCGCCCCCCCCCATACGACCGACACGGCTTGAGCAAAGGGAACTCATCTTCTTGGTTCTTTCGGTAAAGTCACGTAGAATGGAAATAATAAAAATAAACATAATAAAGTAAATGACTTTACTATTATATTTTATTATTATATACTATAATTTTATTATATAAACAATAAAATAAATAACTTTATTATGTTTTATTTTTATTATTTTATTATTTCCATTCTACGTGACTTTACCGAAAGAACCAAGAAGATGAATCCCTGCAGTCACGAAAGCTTTAAATCGAAATTTTATTATGTTTTATTATTTTATTATTTCCATTCTACGTGACTTTACCGTAAGAACCAAGAAGATGAATCCCTGCAATCACGAAAGCTTTAAATCGAAATTTTATTATGTTTTATTATTTTATTATTTCCATTCTACGTGACTTTACCGTAAGAACCAAGAAGATGAATCCCTGCAGTCACGAAAGCTTTAAATCGAAATGTTATTATGTATTATTTTTATTATTTTATTATTTCCATTCTACGTGACTTTACCGAAAGAACCAAGAAGATGAATCCCTGCAGTCACGAAAGCTTTAAATCCAGCGGTGGATTGACAAGAGGGGTCCCTGTGAATTCCGTGCTGCCATCATTGTTACGTCCTCCGGGCAAAAAATACCCAGAGGCCGCCTTCGACCTTAGCGCTGGATAGACCAGGTGGTGGTGGCGCACCTGGCCGAGGAGACACCGGCGATCCGGGAACCACGGTTGATGCCGCTGGCGGAGGACGGGGTAGGATGGAAGGCCTTGGTGGAGTCGCTGCCCCCCCCCCCCCCCCCCCCCCCCCGCGACCAGATTCAGTTCGGAAAAACGGGCCGATATTGACCGATTGGTGTATCTGCTCGCGAACACGAGGAAGTGTGATAATTGTTTTTTTTTACCCTTTTATCTGGCAATAAAACTTACACCTTTTTTTACAAGGAGTCATGTTTGCATAGACCACAATACCTGCGGTCGGAATGCAAAAAAAAACACAACTCTGATGTTTGCACTGTCCTTGAAGTTGATTGGTCCACACCCGAGACAGCTTTCCTTAGAGCCTAGTCTCACATGGTGTTGAACCAGATGACGCCAAAAGGCGCACAACTTAAAGACAATGCACCATCAGAGTATGAGAGCTCGGGGTAAGCATTTACACCATTGGAACCTCATTTGCCAGTAGCAAAATATGATACGAGGAAGTGTACGACGCCATCGCCAATCGCTGCAATGCGTAACAAAGTGATGCGCGTTGGTGCGCTAGCGATTCTAACGCGCGATATCCATCCACAGTCTCGCATTGCAAGATCACAAGAGGTGGCAGAAACTTTGCGAGGGTTTTGCAGCCAGCGGTGGATTGATCGTGGCGGACGACGATGATATTTATTTATCTGTTTTGTGCCCCGACAGATAACCCCCAACCCCCACCACCACGGCCACCTATATATGCGACGGATGTATTAAATACGAGCAGAGATAAGTATGCCGAGAGACGCACGCGTGGCTACAGTCGTGTGTGAACTGACAAATTAGCGGCCATACATTACGTTCGCGCGTGACGGCACACGAGTGAATATATAGATGTGAGATGGGGGGCGCCCGAAACGGACGCGATTAGACGCGCGGAAAGGCCGCGGCGGTGGAATGAAAAGGACGCACGAGCGCACGTATGGATTGATAAATGCGTGGAATGAAAATAATATAGACAAAATAAATCTGCGTCCATGCATCAAACTGCGGCGTTGTTCATCAGTTACGATCCACCTTTCTCAATGCGTCCCCGAAGCCCGCGCTTGCCAAACGGGGAGGTGATGTGCACGCAGCGCGGGGCTACGCGTCCGCATCAGTGGGTAATGTGTGATTGCGTACGGCCCCTTATTTTTTGTCAATGGATGACGGGGGGGGGGGGGGGTCGCGGGTGGGTTATTTGGAGGCCCATCAACCGTGCTTGGTGGCTTCCGGGGTTTGGCGATGGCGTGGAGCGCAGACGGAGCACAGCGCAGTAAAGTACAACGATGGCATTCTGTCCCCGCTCGTGACAACGTAGACCCGCAGCAGCAGCAGCAGCAGCCGCCTTCAAAGCCCGTTTCATGCACGCTGGTGGTCGCCCATCTGTCCTGCTGAGCCTCGATGATCCGATGAGATGGGGCGCGTTCTGGCCGATCTGGTCATTGGTTCTCGTATGTGTGCGTGTGCGGGTGCGTGGGTGTATGTACGTATGTGTGCGTGTATGTACGTATGCGTGCGTGCGTGCGTGGGTGTATGTGCGTATGTGTGCGCGTGTGGGTGTATGTACGTATGTGTGGGTGTGGGTGTATGTACGTAGTGGGGAGCGGTAGTGTAGCGGTTAGCGCGCTGCGCTATGAACCTGGCGACCCGGGTTCGATTCCCGCTCACGGCTAACACCAGTGACGATTATCTGAACCGGTCCTGGGCCTCCCCTAGGTCGACTCAGCCTTAAATGAGTACCTGGTGCGGTGTGTAAACATCGCCACTGGGGAGACAAAGGCGGTCGGGCGTGGTGCTGGCCACCCACCCCCTTGTGTGCCGTTGCGGCCTTCATAGGTGCTCGCTAATAGCACTTGCCCCTACAGTCTGTTAAGGCTATACGGGGGATCTTTGTCTTTGTATGTACGTATACGTGCGTGTGTGGGTGTATGTACGTATGCGTGCGTGCGTACGTATGTGTGCGTGTGTATGTACGTATGTGTGCGTGTGTGGGTGTATGTACGAAAGTGTGCGTGTGTGGGTGTATGTACGTATGTGTGGGTGTATGTACGTATACGTGCGTGTGGGTGTATGTACGTATGTGTGCGTGCGTACGTATGTGGGTGTATGTACGTATGTGTGCGTGTGTGGGTGTATGTACGTATGTATGTGTGCGTGTGTGGGTGTATGTACGTATGTGTGCGTGTGTGGGTGTATGTACGTATGCGTGCGCGTGTGGGTGTATGTACGTATGTGTGCGTGTGTGGGTGTATGTACGTATGTGTGCGTGTGTGGGTGTATGTACGTACGTGTGCGTGTACGGGTGTATGTACGTATGTGTGCGTGTGTGGGTGTATGTACGTATGTGTGCGTGTACGGGTGTATGTACGTATGTGTGCGTGTGTGGGTGTATGTACGTATGTGTGCGTGTGTGGGTGTATGTACGTATCTTGGTCAGTTCACCCACTATCTCCTTTCTCCGTCAAAGAGCGCCTGTTACGAGCCATTCACCACGCCGCAGAGTGCAACACGGCATGGCATAAGCGCCGTGGCAAACTCTCGTTGTTCCGTACATCTATGCACATACCTACGCGCATTTTATTGCCCAGAAGTGAATCTGTGTGCGCGCGGCCGATTGTGTCCCCACGCATGGCATCGCGCGCGTCTGTGTTTGCCAACTTGACTTGGCGTAGCTATAACTTCGTGTGTAATCGTGCTTGCCCGCTCATCTCCCACGCGTACCGTTGTGCAACTGGCCATGCGGTACGGGCAAGTCCGTGCGCGCACACGCACGCGGTGCTGGCCACGTGCCCCCCCCCCACCTCGTGTGCCGTGACAACACTTGCCCCCAAGTCTGTTCAGGCTATGGTGGTGGAGGGGTTGGGAATTCTTTGTCGTTGTGCTCACGCGTACACCGTCTGTCAAGGGTGGCACAGTCGGGTTTTTTACAATCGGGTTTAATTGTCTTTTTATATTAAACCCGATCATCTTAGATTTGGAGAAATCCGGTTTAATTGGTTCTAATTGCAGAACCGCACTTCGCCAACTTCTCAACGATGGGCGTCATCCATTCCAAGCGAAGGAACTCACTGGCGCCCACGATTGTGGAGGAGAAGCTCGTGTTCATCAAGACCAACCTGCCCGCCGCATTCTACGACTACCCCGTGCCCGACGGCCCCCCCGAGTACGATAGCAGCACCGACGAGGAAGCAGCCTAAGCCTTGGATCAGAGTTTCGTATTCATTAAGCCAGGTTTTAATTCCCCGAAATCGGGTTTAATTGTATTAAAGAAAAAACCCGATGCCTGCCGCTGGAAAAATCGGGTTTTTTCCACCCATGACGTCTGTAACGCCCGTGCGTGTTATTCGCGAGCACCTATGAAGGCCGGGATGGTACACGAGGGGGTGGTTGGCCAGCACCACTAAGTGGCGGCGACGTCACCACGGCGTTTGTGCCAGGCTGTGCGCACTTTAAGGCCACGTGAAGTGTCGAACGCCCGCTGGCAAGAGGTCACGGGACAGAACCGGGTGCCATCGGTTGACCGACCGAGATGAGAGACACACACACGTACGCACACACGAGTGTATGCGCGTATGCCAGCACGTTCACACAAACACACGAACACGCGTGCCCACGCGTGCCCACGCGTGCCGCCACTCGCCTGCTTGAAGGGCTGGTAGCGGCTGCCCTCCACGATGCTGAGAACTTTGAGCTGCGCTGGCATCACGCGCGCCGGGTTCTCCAGCTGCTCCGACGTCGGCTCCGGCTCCTTCTTTTTCTTCTCCTCCTTGTCCTTCTCCTTCTCTTTATCTTCGTCCTTCTTCTCGGCCTCCTCCTGGAGCGGGAACCCAAGGGATGAGAGGGGGAAGAGGGCGGCGGCTTCAGACGTGGAGGGGGGCGGGCGACGCGCGGAATAACAGAACGGCCTGGTCACGGAGTGGGAGCACCGCCCCACTTACGCCGGTCGGAATGTACGTACGTTGAACTTCTTTCGCGCCCTACGTAAACCAGCCGTGCTAGTTGCAGGTGCGCGTGTAGGTGTATGTATGCACGGTGAACTTCTTTCACACCGTACGTAGCCACCCGTGCTAATCCGAGGTGCGGGGAGGAAAGACACCAAACTAAACCCAAAAAAGCAATTCTAAAGAAATTAGTTTTCAATCTAGATAATTTTAAAGTGCATAGCTCCCAGTGGCTTTCTGTCGGAAGGAAGAGAGCATTCCAGACGGCCGCGGAAGCGCATCTGAAAGCGCCGCGCGATGCCGTGACCACCGTCTTTGTTCGATGGCTGAGCAGCCAAAAGCCGCTGGCGAGGGCGATAAACCCGACGGTCGTGTAGTCACACAGCTCATGTGCTGTTTGACCACACTTCAACCGTGCTGGCGAGTGCGAGTTGGTGAAGGCGAGTAACACCACGGACGTGGGAGCGTAGAAGTACAGCCAAACAATGAGCTTCTGCTGCACTGCCCTCTGCCAGCACCACGTGGCGGTGCTGGCAGTCGACAAAGGACGACAACTCGGCATGCACGCCGGTTGCACCCTCGAGCCTTCTCCCGGCTCAAATAAAAACCATGCTTAGCTTTTAAATCCTAATGAGCTCGGGTGAACTGCGGTCATAGAAGCTGTGCCCGCACGGTCAACCGTGTATCAAGAGCGACACGAACATTGGCGCTTGGTGCGAGGGACGGTGCGCAATGAGACGGCCGCCCACTCAAGAGCGTGGAATCGTCGTCAGCGGTGGAATAAAAAAAAAACTCTGAGGTTAACGCTCAGCGCGAGTGAGATCCTGGGTTCGAATCCGCACAGTGAAGCGAGTTCGTGGTCTCTGCCACGGTCACCGATGATGGCACCAAGCAAGAAAAAATAAAACATCACACAGAATTTAATTCTGCACTTAATTTGGATTCTTATCGGGGTTTTTTTTAACGGTCATCGGTGACCATATCTACTGGAACTCGCGAACACACGGCAATCTGGTTCAATCACAGGCAGAAGAGCCTGGAAAACAACCCATGTAATCTCAGCCGTTGTCAGCTCAGCACACTTTGATCTCTGTGGCCACATTGCTCCACTTCGAACCGTGAATAATTGTAAATGTTTCCCCTGTTTCTCTTGGTAAAAAATGTTTAAGCTGAAGACCGTGCACAAGCTCAGCCCCCGTGTAACGGAGATAAAAGAAATAAAAGATTTATATGAAATAAAAACATTACGACGGGAAGGGCGCTTCATCACTGCCACTTAAAATATATTTGAACGATTTTTTTTTTTACTGCAAAGTTCGTACAAATGCACAGCGGGGGGCTCATTCATTGTGCTTGGAGCTCAACGGAGTCCTATTTACGACCGACGAGGATTGGACGTAAATCCGCTCGCTTTTCACAAGAACTTCATGAACCCTCTTCCCGCTCCAAGACGTCTGGAAGTTTGCAAAGTGGGTGGTGTCCCATTCACCGCGGAATCTCGGAACGCGCGAGCGATTCAGCGTTCATTTTATTTAGAGAGGCGTAGTAGTTGCGCCGTTGTTTTGCAAGACGTCGTGCTCACCGCAGAAAACTGTGGTGACATGACCACACTCTCCGGTCGCTGGCGTCAAACTGTGCCACACGCCGTACTACCCCGCATGGCATTGTGGGAGCCTCGGCACCGATAAAGTTATTTTATATGTACACGTACATCATCGGAATGAAAGGGTTAATACATGACTGGGACTGCCAATCTGCATAAACCTTAATAATCGGTTGTGTCGGGTGGTGGCGGGTTTAACGACACATTGATATTTACGTGCTCCAACCCAAAAAAAACTCAATTATGGATAATATTGGTTGCGAAAGCGTGCCACGTGTTAAACTGCATAAGGAGCTTTGCAAAAATTATAACGAAGAAAAAATGGAATTGCCGGCACCTGGTCTTCCTTCAAGTTCATCACGATCGCTTCCGAGGGGCGGCAAGGTTTGGGCGCACCGTCCTTCACATTTGTCCGTTGTGTGTTCACAGCACTTTGAATTTTTCTTTTTAAACGTTGGGCTGCAAGGTGGCCCAGAAGATGGCAGTACGAGAACAGAGGTTTAATTTAATAATTTTAAAGCGAATGAAATTTAACGATCTAGTCATTGCGTGGTAAACATACGCATGCGACAAAATGATTGATGTTGATGATACGCCACTACCAAACAGGACCAGAATCAACAGATTGAAACCCGGTCAGACTTTGATGTATAAATCAAGACGTGAAGAAACAGATTTCTGGAACACCTTCAAATCTCATCAGAGAAATGTGTGCAGAATATTAACAGTACAGAATTTACTTTTGAACACGACATAACTAGTTCTGGCGACACTACAGAACTACTTCCGATGGGCTCTGCGGGCAATTGTTGTTGTAATAGCAACATCGTCCAGTGGATGGCGACAATGACGGTCGAAAAATGTGCTTTGCATCAATTCTCTTCATAGCTTCATATATCTTTTTTTAGTCCTGCCCAAGCCCAATTACATTTCTTAACGGTCAATAAAACATCTATATAACTTGCGTAAACATCACCTGTTCCAAGCATCTTCTTTTCTTCGGCTTGTGTTGCTTTCCCTATCGTATCAATGTGCCTGTATAATAACGCAATATAATCAGTGGACGTCACCCCAACGTCACGTGGCACACAGAGCAACCCCACAGGAACGATAAGCTGGAGAGCGGGGACCTCCCCCTGTCCACGATTTCAACTCGTCGCCTCCCAACTGCGAGTCTCATCGGTCGAACCCACTGCGTTCAACGGCAGGGTCGAGACGCATTCGCAAATGTGGTGTCTGAATCAGAATCAGTATTTATACTGGAGGAGGAATCCGATGAGCCGTAAAGCTCTTTCTTCACAGATGTCCAGTCGGGGCACGGTGCCAGAACTACTATTTTTATTTGCACCTGGTAAAGCTCACTGAGCTTATTAGCTTATTCTGCACAAGCAACCTGGCCACAAATTATATCTCACTTGATACAGCTATCGTGCTGTGACTATTCCACCTGAAGACGGAAGCTTGTGTTGCCTCCGAAACGTCGTGATTTTTATTTTATTTTTATTTTACTTTCATTAATTTAAATTTTTTACCTACGTGACTTTACCGAACAAACCTAAGAATTTTATTTTTCGATTTAAAGCTTTCGTGACTGCAGGGATTCATCTTCTTGGTTCTTTCGGTACGTGACTTTACCGAAAGAACCAAGAAGATAAACCTAAGAATATGAATCCTTGCAGTCACGAAAGCTTCAAATCTATAATCACAAATTATAGCTCAACGAAGTGGCTTATTACGTGGAAATGCATAGCAGCTAAATAATCGAAACAATTTAAAAGCATGTTTCCATTCGCGGCATGCCGCGCACACTAACAGTTGTTCGCGACAGCGAGCCAGAGTCCACGTGCCGGTTGCCACCAAATCCACCGCGAGCATCCCTGCCTCCTGGGGCCAGTGCGTGCGTGCGTGCGTGCGTGAGGAGCCGTGCGGATTTTTAACCCCATCCCGTTCCGAGACGTGCGCAAGTTGAAGGGTGGGTGGCGTCTCCGTTCACCGCCGAATCTCGGAACTCGTGAGCGGCTCAACGTTCATTTTATTTAGAGAGGCGTAGTAGCGCCGTTGTTTTTTTAAAGACGTTGTGCTCACCGCAGCGAAGCGTTGCGACACGAGCCGCCACTCTATGACGGCCGGCGCCAAACTGTGCCACACGCTCTTGTGGGAGCCTCAGTACCGATAAAGTTATTTTATATTCTTGGTTCTTTCGGTAAAGTCACGTAGAAGGGAAATAATAAAATAAAATATTCTTATTTCCCTTCTACGTGACTTTACCGAAAGAACCAAGAATATGAATCCCTGCAGTCACGAAAGCTTTAAATCAAAATTTAAAGTTATTTTAGTTTCTCTTCTGGTTCTGTTCTGGTGACGTACACAGGAACAGAACCAGAAGAGAACCTGATGGAGTGCACTACGTCATTGGAATGGGAAAGGGTTAATTTAGCCGCATGTTTAACCACGCACCCGCTGCGTACGTTTTAATAACCGTACTCCAAGCGGCTGCGTGCAGGGGTCTCGTGCCCCTCGGGAAATGAACAACCGTTTCCTTTCATTTTCGGCTCAAGACAATATAATAAATGTTCCGTTTTTACCACTCGATGGCGAAATGGTGACCTCGATCCAATGAACACACGGGGGTTGTGGCCTAAACCGGAGGCAGTTTAGAGAATGTCTATGTTCATAGAATGTATGTGTCCATTACGATAATTAAATTTAATAAATAGTACTCGGTTTTTAAAAGCCATTTCTCGAATAAACGATGACAAACTTGCACCGACTAGTGCGATGAATTGCGGTTAACATGCCCATGAACTGACAATGCCAATGTAATAATAACAGAAATGTAAAATAATAACATGGAAATTGTTCATAAACTTCCTTTTCGTTATGCGACAATTCATAAACACTTTACCACGCTGATCGTTGCATGCTGGGAAGGGGGGGGGGGCTGCAGCGGTTCAGATATTATCCACCAATAATCTTGAGCTACATAGCTCTTTTTACAGAAGCGGCCGAGAACGCGCGTTGGAGGATTTCAGAGCGCCGTGCCCTAACCCACTGCACCACCGCTCCCGGTGGGAGCGTTGAATCAATTCTGTTTACATCTACTAGACGGCGTCGTTCAGCGGAGACCCGTGTAGGTTCACAGTAAGACCTGGCGACAAGAAATTAAACCGGGACAACGGCCACGCACGCGCGTGTGTGTGCGCATGCGTCCCTCTCAAACATTCCCCCGCACTAAATGTAACCAATCGTCGCACGCGGCGATGCTTTAAA